ACACAGCACATCAACCTGGCCTAGAAATTGGATATTTGGATCTGGAGTCAGGGGTTATCTCCTTTCTTAAAAATATTCACGACAAACAATGGATCCAAATTTAACGTATGACAAAAACAAACACGTTACGCGAGTCGTGTGGTGCTCTAGAAATATAATGAAGTGGGCACGTGCTCCTTGGGGTGTGCTTTCAACCAGATTGACAAGTTCATAAATTGATGTACTTTCTTACCGTTGCCTGCATTCCTGCCAAGCTCCCATCACAGTCAAAGATGAGCCTCGTGGCATCATCGTCCTTTTGGGAATAACGATTGCCATAGAAAAACTTGGCTTTTCCTGTATAGGATAAACAACGAAGTAACATCTGAATTAAAAAGTTTAAAGACTGTCAGATAGTGGTACTAAGTATGCTAAGGTCCAACATCCAATTCTATGTTGATATTTCGCGCATGTCTGTAGGGAGAACTGGGTAAGAAGGAAAGTCATGAGACATTCGTTTAGGTTGTAGTTTCCGTGGTGACGGTTTCCATAACACAACAAAACTGACTAAATCATAGACGAACAACGGGAGAAGAGGAAAATGTTTGAAACCGCACATTGTAACCATGAAATAGGAAAGTATAATTTCTGCATAATAGATTGAACACTTCACACGCCAGAGTACTTCGTTCAGGCCCAGTACCTGAGCATTTCGCGTCTTGCCTCCAGCCAGCCTGCACTGCCTGTTGGGAAGTCAGTGGATAGGAAGTAAACTTCATAAATGTCACTGCAAGAAATATATAAACTGAGCTTTCATTTATTATTCTTAATCAGTAACACTTTCTGCTATTGTGTTGGGAGGCATAGCAAAACTACTACCGCGCCATTGGCCCAAGAGGACCCCTGTAGTGAGTTTCTTTTTCCTTGGACTCATAGGGACAGTTATTACACGAGGTCTAACCCAAACCACGGTTTTACGCAATCAATGGGCCGCGGATACTCTCTATAAGAGGGTTGATTTAATTAAATAAATGTTCTTTCACCGTTAGCTCGCGGCATTCTTGAAACTGTTCTCAAAAATCTATGTACAGACAAAAAATTCACCTAAATCGAAGATAGTTAAGAGCGTGGTTTTTTTTTAAACAACGGTTAATCTTTGCTTAATTAAATAGGTGGCGCATAATGTTCCCCTTGGCTTCCACTCGAGAAATATTAAAGGTCTCTGGGAAACACGAATCACTGTTTCACTTTGGGCCAGTCATCAATTGTTCATCAAAGATTCATTACCCTGAAGTAAGTAAGTATCAACCGTGTTCACAATCTGGTTGCCATGACAACATTGATATCTCGACAAGTAAAGGTTTCACTTTCTCGAAACAAAAGAAACTCAGGTATCTCATCAATTATCTATTTATTGACGGACAACACTATGTTACTGCTCTTATGCTGTGCAGTGTATGATACCATCATGTAGTACCAATCGCATAATAAGTACTGTTGGAACTGGAAAGATATAAATGAAATCAATTTGCTGCGTAAATGATTATAGATAAATTACTTTTGACCATTTTTATGTCAAACCTCGTAGTTGGTCCCACTCTGATGAGCCTAAATAAGTAAAAAAAAAAAAGAGGGACAGTTAGAAAACTTGTATTTCGCAATTTTGGTGTATGTAAATATTACACAAGATTACTCGATGATGAACTTTCGTCAATCTTGCATATCTTAAGCAAGCATTGTCCCGTTGTATCTCTGTGCCACCGCTAGAAACTTTAGAACAAAAGTACAAGTAGCAAAAGTACATTTTCCGACGAATAGCAAAGCTTGATGGGAAAGTTACACTAAAAGATGCCTATATATTTGTAAGTCCAAAATCATGAGATAACGAAGGCTCCCAGTGTTTTGTCCTACATGTTATAGTTTATGGTAACTGTTATCGGCTAATGTTCATAAACACCTGTTTATAAAGGCCTTATTATTTTCAAACTGAGCTCTGTGATTCACAGAGTACTACAAAATACAGTATAACATCTACAAATGGATCCGTGTGGAATTGAGTACCGGCCGTCAGATGAAGCCCCTTTGGAAAATATGAAAACGTACCTTGCGAGTGGAGGACAAAAAGTTGAAGGCTTATCACACAGAAAAAGGCTTTCCACCCTATCATCGTGTCCTTCTAAGTGTAAATCGCAGCCCTATATTTAATAAACAAAGTAGATGAGTTGTCGTGAATATATTTAAATAATATTCAGAGAGAAAGTCAATTGGTTTGATGTCAAGAAAAAGGAAAGTAACAGGATACCGTCAAAAATTTATCCAGAGTTACAAACCATAGAAGATAATTTTTTTTGTAGGCGTTTGTTGATCTTTGTCAGCCTTTGAATATTGCCGTCATATTTGTTTTTAAGGACAAATACTCCTGATGAAAATGAATTGAAAACAAATAGTAAATATGATGCTTCCAAGTACACTGGGGATTATTAATAAAAGCTGAATTAACACCTATTGTAAATGAAACGGAAATTGGGAGCATGTCATTTCCTGATAGTGCTTCAAAATAGTTCCCCGTTGGAAATAAAAACGAGTAGGTTTTCTTAAGATAGGTTTACTCGCGCCTCATATCATAAAACGCAATTTTATTTGATTTTACTGCAAATTGATATAACTAACAGGTTTTATTGTAAATATTCTGTAAAGTGCCCTTGAAATTATGGGCTAGAGTTGAGGCAGTAAATATGTTATCACTAAGATAGATTATTCTTGAGATTTCCTCAGTTTTGACTTGATCCAGTCTACTTTATATTTTTCTATTCATTTCTGGAAAGTGATGAGTTTTACCAAAAACATCTGGTCATAATTACCAAACCGCCATATAATTTAGTGCAGGTTTGTGAGCAAAGTTATCCTGATCGCTGATCTATCATCTTCAAAAAAAGCTGAAAAAGACTGTGAGACTTGAATTATTCTTACCAAAAATTGGTTCAAATTCTGTCTTTTATCATAAACAAAAATATCCATAATTTTTTTCAAAGACAAAAAGGTACAAAGATGTTCAAACGAAGGCCGTTAATTTTATTATTTTAGCTGTGCAAACAACTTAAGATGGAAAAAAAATTAACTTTACCGTAGATCTGAGGTAAAGAAAATCTTATCGTATTTAGTTTACGGTTTAAATGTACAGAACACAATTTTTTAACGTGATTTTTATAGTTGTGGTTGAATTCATGTTAATCAAACGAGCTTTCACTAAAAAATTTCTCCCACAAAAGCATTTTAGTTAACAAATAATGACCTCCCTTAGCAAACACCAGCCTTAATGAAACTGTAGAGGTTTGATTTTGATAAATAACGATAAGATTGATATGGACAACGAGGCCCAGTTTAGTTCAATAATATTTAAAGAAATTTTTGGTTTTATTGATTAAATATTGTTAAAGATATAGTTAAAGATATAGCATTGTAGACAGAAAAGTAATAACGATCACTTTTTCTTTCTGGTGCAAAATTTTTTTTTCAGTTTTCACAATAAAAGGAGTCAACATATATGGTAATGTAGTTTTTGCGACAGACACTGGGCTAAGAGGTCTGGGTTCGAGCCTCTGCCGAGTCAGTGTGTCCCTTGGAAAGAAAATATTGTAATCGTTGCAGGAATAAATATCCATCACTAGCCATTCCCACTTCGGCAAATAGCTGTCAATTATTATCAATTCCACATCACAAAGCCATAGAAACATAGGAAATAATATATGTATAGATAATGATACAATAATTAAATAACACTTTGATTGGGATAAGAATAATGATTAGTAAAAAAAAAAAAAAAATGGATCATGAGAGTAAGAAATGAATTTAGAAAAGTGTTAATCGATGTTCACGGCTGCTTTTATTTTAACCCTTCAACTCTCAAAAAATCTTATTGTTAACTTTCCCCTTTAGCTGTAACAGACTTCATGGTAAATAAGTTCTGAGAATTTTGTGTTAGATCAAATAGCAAGTTGTACCTGATAAGTTTGAGTATTCTCATTACCTGCTCACTGGATAATGTATGGATATTACAGCGAGAAGTCACATGCTAATCACTTCTTGTAGTTAAAGGATTAAGTTAGAAAACGGTTGGTCAGAGTTTAAGGTAGAAAACAAAGCCTCCGAATAAAGATCTCTACAAAATTCGAAGCAAGATTCGGAATCCTGGAGATGGTAGTTCTCGTCCAAGAATAGATGACCCTGAGCTCTTGTGGAAGAATGTCTGGCCATCTTGCTGAAACGACAAGCACCTTAGCCTGCACGTGAAATATTTTAACCCTTTCCGAGATCTCATTAGTAATTCTCCTTACTGTGTGTCATACATTTCTTACAATGTTATGCGTTTTTCCAGCTTGTATAGGACATGTAGGGTTAGAAGCTGATATAATGTCAAAGATATTCTAATATTTTTGGGTGCGATCTTGGATCAATATCAGTATCTGGGCACCTGCCCACCTACCCCACCCCTAACCCAACAACAGTCTATTGATAATAAACTAGGGTTAATGTTGGGTTAGGGGAGAGGTAGGTGGGTTGATATTGATCCGCGATCTTTAATCTCCTTGAGGATGACCAGAAATAAAGCGGTGGCAAGTAGTTTGAAAAATAGTGATAAATTCTTTTTAAGAATCCCAACTCTTGTATTTTTCCATTTTAAACTCGTTTCGAATTAGAATAAAGGAAGCAGGGGCGTAGCCAGAATTTTTCAAAGGAGAGCACATTGTGTCAGACAAAGGGTACTCATTAGTTTCGCTACCTGAATATTGTAAGTTGTTTGCTTCAAAAAAGCCTTAGAAAGAATCGATGTGCACAAGATTTTATTTCTCGATATGATGTTTCAAATCTATTTCGAGGTTGGTCGGCAACTGCAAGTAACGCAGCAATAAATTTTCGGAATATCCGAGATGTGAACCAGCAGTCAATTATCCTGTTTACGGCGCAGATACTGGGTCTAGCCTCATTACCAGTTCTACTCAACCGGTAGGTAGCCATCTTGGATTTAGTTTCGGGAATAGTGCACATGTGTTACCTTGTAGTCATGTAGAGCCATAGCGACTGTTTTAAGAGGTGTTTTCATCTTCTTTGGAATCTGTCCGTATTCAAGATGCCCCCAACAATCCAGGATGGACAAAAGAACAGAGATCAGGACAGAAGGTTAGACCAGCTGAGAGAAAAGTGACAGCGACGTAAAGTTTGTTGTAATGCTAGCGCTGTTGCTTGTTGTTTGTTTCTTTATGCAAAATAATATTCTGCGTTAACTTCTCTCAGGTTAACAGTAGTAAATACAACTGTTGGTAAGGTAGTTCTGAACTGATGTGTCAGACTAACCCGCCAGTCAGCAGGTTTCGTGGTTACTTTCAGTATGAAGTGATGTAAGGATCGACAAAGGATGTTATTCTGTCTCACTTTGAAATTTGCTCAAGAAAATGGTGTAACCCTGTATGTTACGTCTTTTGCAGGCAAAGTTCATTGCGTCAAACAGTAAGGTAAGCTTTTTACTAGATTGTTAACTATTCTTCACTTAATTAGTTCATCTAAAATTGAAAAAAAATTTACCTTATTCCTTCAATTTTTCTGTCAAATTATCAACAATTGTTTTTCTCTGCGTGTTCTTATTTGCAGCAAGGCTGATTTTGTTTCCCGGGTTAAATATAACAACAATCTACCAGATATTCCTTTTGATGCCAAGTTCATTGCTTATCCTTTTGAATCAAACAGGTAATTTAGAATTAGTTATACATTTTACAAGAGCAAAA